TTCTTTTTTTTTCTCTCAATATCATCTTTCTTGGAATGAGAGCTGTTTTCATTTCGAATGCTTTGTGTATCTGTTTTAGAAGCCCTATTAGTATCCCATAATGTCTGTGAAAGTTGTGGGCTGTCACAGTGAGAACTCTTAGAGCTATCTCTATCTGGATGCATGCTGGAAATCCAGCAGTATATTTTCCGTGTCACCATTGTAAATAGAAACTGTGGCTTACATAATGCTCATATTCCCATTATTGTGAAGGCTCAATTCTACCCAGGAGGCCTGCAGGCTCTCCTTCTGCAGGTCAGGCTTCACTTTTTTTTTGAAATGGATTCTTCCCCGTTGCCCAGGCTGGAGTGCAATGGTGCAATCTCGGCTTACTGCAACCTCCCCCTTCCAGGTTCAAGGGAGTCTCCTGCCTCAGCCTCTTGAGTAGCTTGGATTACAGGTGCCCACCCACCATGCCCAGCATATATATATGTGTGTGTGTGTATATATATATATATATTTTTTTTCACCATGTTAACCGGCTGCTCTTGAACTCCTGACCTCGTGATCTGCCCACCTCGGCCTCCCAAAGTGTTGGGGTTACAGGCATGAGCCACCACACCCAGCCAGGCTTCACTCTTTGATGTGACACTGAAGTGCTCCTGCGGCAATTGTCATTCACCTGAGTTGAGCTGCCAGCCGTGAGCACTGTGCTGTGGGCTGCAGTGGCAGATGGTAGGAAACAAAAGAGGACACTGGCCACCAGAAGAATGGAAGCAGGAGTGTACTAGCCCAGTCCTCAGGGAGTAGAGAGCCACTGCTTCAAAATACAAGTAGCCAAAAAGATAGCACCCTATTCTTTTTTTTTTTTTTTTTTTTTTTGAGACGGAGTCTGGCTCTGTCGCCCAGGCTGGAGTGCAGTGGCGCTATCTCGGCTCACTGCAAGCTCCGCCTCCCGGGTTTACACCATTCTCCTGCCTCAGCCTCCCAAGTAGCTGGGACTACAGGCGCCGCCACCACGCCCGGCTAGTTTTTTTTTTTTTTTTGTATTTTAGTAGAGACGGTGTTTCTCCGTGGTAGCCAGGATGGTCTCGATCTCCTGACCCCGTGATCTGCCCGTCTCGGCCTCCCAAAGTGCTGGGATTACAGGCGTGAGCCACCGCGCGGGGCAGATAGCACCCTATTCAACCACTTGTAGAAGAGTGAAAGTCTACATTCAGCAGGCAGCTGGCTTCAAGTTGCAAAACTACCTTCTGCCATGAAGATGTGAAAAGCTTATTTTGTCATTGAATATGACCAATTAGCATACAGAGATGGCCTCCCCAGTGACCAGGTGAATTTAGGATGAACTACCTATGACATGGCGCTGTACATTCTTCTACTTGTGAACTAATTATGGTAACCGTCTTTATTTCTTTTCAATCCTTAAGCAGATGGATTGTAATACATGTGACATTCAGATTTAATTGTGTAATGAAACAGTTTTCTTTCTGTTCCATTACTGCAGTTTCTGTGGTGCTGAAGAGAATTAATAAAAATTATATTTCCCAAACACTGTGTAGAATTACCAGACATAATATAAACACGTAAGGTGCCAACCAAGCTTTACTCTAGAGGGGACTTTCCCTCTCAGGCTTCCAGTCAACTCACAGTTATGCTGTAAAATGCATACTGTCAACTAAATATGCATGCGGAATTATGTCTCTGCCTATTTGGTAGTTTCATTTTCTATTTAGAATCAGCCTGAGTCTCTCTTGCTGGTTTATTATTGGACCATCAGCCCAGGGTCACTGGAAATGCTTTCACAATCACCAAGGTGTCTTTGAGACATTTGAAAATCTCTCCAGAACAGAATTGTGTCAGACTGACTAGAGTGGTTAATTTTGCTTCTGTCTTAATGTAAAAGAAATGTTTGCTCCCCACCTCATACAAGAGATGTCTTTGGTTGGTACCCAGATGAGAGTTTCTCTAGTTCCCTGGTACTTGAGTGAAAAATGGTGAGGAGGTCTGGAGACTCAAACGAATAAACTAATTGCTTCCAATTCATATATTCATTAGAAAAATAGATGAAGCAGTCATGGTCCCTACCATGCAAGAAATTTTAGTGTAGACTAGCAACTGGATAAGTGGTTTAATTATGCATCATATGGTGGGTACAATAAATAGATGTGTGCAAAAATATGGGCTTTATTTGGGCCATTTTCTTTATATTTTTGTGACTTCTGATGTCTATACCTGAACATATATTAATAAACAAGAGTTATTATTGTATTTTTTATGCCCTGCTTAGAATACTTATTTATCGTTTAAAAAATTATTCTAGAAAACCTTAAGGGATTTGTTTAAATTGCTTATTAGTATGTGATAAAAAATTGAAAGGGCAGTGGGGCTAAAAAAGATTACAGTTACATAAACTCTGAGATTTAAGGTTTTTTGTTTTTTTAAGCTAAGCTTAAAAAATGAAATGGAACTAAAAATACTCCCCAGTGGCATAAAGAACAGAATTTTACATTAGCTCTACAACCCGCTTCAGCCCTATTTAGATTCACCCTTTTGAAAGCCTTATTTAGGTCTTGCCCTACCCTGGAGTCTTGCCTCACAGAACTAATTAGAAGAGATCAGAGTTTTGGCTGATGAATCCTGTTGCCTTTTTAGAATTGGTTCTCACAATTTTCTGAAAACCAAAAGCAGATAAATGGAAAATATAAAATATGTATTATAGGGTCTTAATTTTTAAATTTTTTGTTAAAACTAGTGTTTGCAGAGACATTCCATTTAGCAACTTGTTTTCTGTTCCTACAGATGCAGTAGTTGATTCACAAGTCACAAAATGGTAAATATAAACATAATAATTCATCTAAATTACCTTACAGTCTATCTATATCCCTCTCATCTGTCTATATTTAGATTGTATTCTATGCATTTTAAAAAAAAATTAGTGACAGAGAAACAGAAGAAGAAATAAAAATACTGGGTCCTTATTCTAAATCCTTAGAATTATTGAACACTTAGTATCAACTGACAGGCTGTTATTAGAATTAAATCAAATAATGAGTTACCACAGTGCTCTGTAACATCCTATTGATTACATAATACCTGCTTAATAAACATTGCATTAGTACATGTGCACATGTTGTTTTCCAAATGCAGACTTACTCAGAAATTGCTGCTTTCTGTTTTCTCTATAAACTTTAAAGAGCCAGCAAGTAATATACTTTAAGATAGAGAATGGTTGTCTTCATTTGTATCAGAAGTTTTTGTGTTGTGACAAGAGTGCTGAGTGTAAGGGACTCTGTGCTGTGCCTCATTTTTGTAACGAATGCTAATTATGAGCCCAGGGAGAGTGACATCAGCACTGACAGGGGACTTGTTTAGAACACCCATTTATGGATCATCTCCAAACCTGCAGAATCACATTACATAGAGTGGGACCAAGTTTACCTAGTGATTTATAAGCTAATTAAAGCTTGAGTGACAATGCTTAGGTAAGCGGTTAGGCTTCTACTTAGAGTCACATGACCAATTTACAGGAATCTCTTTACTTGTGCCCTTTTTACAGTTTCTGTTTAATGTTCTGAAGAAAACATCTATTTGTTTTAATTAAGTGCCTCATGTGACTCTAAGGTGCCAGAATCAAGTATGAGAAGTTCAAGATACATTCATGAGCATTAAGTTCTACCTTTGCAGTAAAGGGTGGTCCAGGAACCTGTTCTATTTAGATTTGTAAGGACAGGACAGTGTGGCCAATATTTCTATTCCTGTAGCAGAAATTGCCAGTGTCTGTAGCAGGGGAGGGCACCTGAGGACAAAAAAAAAAAAAGAGAAACTTGTATTTTTATCTCTGTGGAGCAGCTGATTGTTCCTGAATCTTTTCTGTTATATAGGACAGAAATGGGTAGAGGTTTTGTGTCTTGGGCCTTCTGCCTTTGGGTGTGGTGGTAACAGGTAAACATGCGGTGCTCAAATTATTAAAGGCAAATTCTCAAGATGCAGATGTAATTCAGAAAATCTCATCTGAGGAAGAATTCGAGAGGAGGAGGAGAAAGAGAAAAAATGGCTTTTTTTTCAGCTAAACATGTCTCAGATCAAGAGCTATGTCCTCTCTGCCTCATGGAATGCCACAGGTTTAGTACTTGCAAATTTTTACTTCTATACCTGTGATTTTTCTCCCTATTGAGTTTGTCTTAACTACTTTTTAAAATGCTTATGATAGGCCAGGCGCGGTGGCTCACATCTGTAATCCCAGCACTTTGGGAGGCCGAGCAGGTGGATCACCTGAGGTCGGGAGTTCGAGACCAGCCTGACCAACATGGAGAAACCCTGTCTCTACTAAAAATATAAAATTAGCTGGGCATGGTGGTGCATGCCTGTAATCCCAGCTACTCGGGAGGCTGAGGCAGGAGAATCACTTGAACCCGGGAGGCAGAGGTTGTGTTTTGGTGAGCCAAGGTCATGCCATTTGCACTCCAGCCTGGGCAACAACAAGAACAAAACTCGGTTTAAAAAAATGCTTATGATAGTCAAGGGTCCTTCAAAAATATTTCTTTTCTATCTACCACAGCCTTCTCTGCATCATGGCTTCTTATATGCCATGCAGAATTCTCATCATGAATTTGTGATCTGCAATATTAAAAATGTTCTCTTTATGACTGTTGAACATGGAAAGGTGTGGATAATCTCTTTCTATGGAGAAAACCTGAGATTCTTAGTAAAGATGGATAACATACAATGTTGAGGTTCTTTTTTGTTTATTATCTCTATGCATTACAGGATTAAGAAAATGCTCCTATAAAGAGGGATGGCATTTGTTACCCAGAAAGTTGGGAAAAAATTACCCGGAGATACCTGCTTATTGGGTGTTAAAGAAAGTACTTAAAATCATTATTAAAAATTGTAGAACATGGAAGATACCTGTATCTTGAACTTTGCATACAACTGATGTTTTCGTATGGATAAATTCAGACTGTAATTTACTTTCATGGGGGCAATATCTCAGTAGTGATGCTGTGTCCTTCTGGATGCATGAGCACACTACAGAAACTTGTTCTAGTGCAACTGACATTAATAACTCACTTGCTTAATAAGCTCTCTTACAGATTTTTTCGCTATAGAGTTATTTTTCTCTTCATCATTAAGTATCTTTATGCAGGTGATGTGTATAAACTATCACATTTATTCTGGCAACTGCTCTTTTGTTTTAGGTTTTCTTTGCATTGTTTTTTTTTTGGTAAATGAAAGCTCTCATCTTTGTTTACAGACCAGAAAAACTGAAGAAAACACAGGGTCTTCCACTTACTGGATGTTTGACAAAATAGTCTTTTGGGGTCAAAACATTGGCATTACTAGTGAGCTTTTTAGAAATTCAGTAACCCAGACTTTATTTCAGATCTCCTGAAAAAAATAGTCTGCATTAACAAGATGTCTAGTTTATTGTACACATTAAAATTTGAGTGGTACCTTCTAACTCAACATGTCTATTTTGTCGGAAATATATAAACAACTATGCCTTTTTCATCTAAAAAATATATACAACTCATTCTATATTATGTAAATACAGCACTCGAAAATGTACTTGTTAGTGTTTGTGCCCTCAATTTTACACTTTATCATCTAGACAAGTATCATATATACACTGATGTTGTGGATATTATGCCACTGTCTTTTCTCAGAGTTAGACAATATGTTACAAAATGTTTGTGTGTTGACAATTATTTTACTGGATAATTTCAGCCACTCTTATAAGTCAAAACCAGTTCTAGTCACTTTCTGATTTTACCTTGAGTCAAATGAAAAATTCTGCCCATAGCCATTTTGTAAATCTGTGCGTTTGTGTGTGTTTTCCAGGGACTGTTGACATTTAGGGATGTGGCCATAGAATTCTCTCTGGAGGAGTGGCAACGTCTGGACGCTGCACAGCAGAATTTATATAGGAATGTGATGTTAGAGAACTACAGAAACCTGGCCTTCCTGGGTAAGGAAAATTTTAATACTCAATTTCTAATATAGACTAATGGTGGTTGTCGCTCTTTTTTTTTTTTTTTTTTTGAGATGGCTCAGACTGGAGTGCAGTGGTGCGATCTCGGCTCATTGCAAGCTCCACCTCCTGGATTCACACCATTCTCCTGACTCAGCCTCCTGAGTAGCTGGGACTACAGGTGCTCACCACCACACCTGGCTAATATATATATATTTTTTTTTTGTATTTTTAGTAGAGATGGGGTTTCACTGTGTTAGCCAGGATGGTCTCGATCTGACTTCGTGATCCGCCTGCCTCGGCCTCCCAAAGTGTTGGGATTACAGGCTTCATTTCTTTTTTGTAGAATGTTTTCTGGAAATTTGTGCTTTCAGATTTCTCTTTTCAAGAAAATCCTGGGGATTCGTTGGTTTAGAAAAGAATTTCTTCAAGAAGTTTCATCTTGACCTGAACTTTCCACATTCCTGAGCTGATCTGTGTCCTTCACTTTAGATTAGTGGTAATTTCAGAAGTTTTGTGGCATAAAATACTGTTACACCTTAAAATCTAATTGCCATCACCAGTTTTTGATTCAGTAGTACCAAGTAGTAAAATTAAGAACCTGCAAAATCAAAATGCTTTCTAAATATGTAGACATTTCTGTTACAAATTAGTATATTGGGATAAATTTATTAGAATATTCTATTATATCCTGTTTACTGAGCACATTACTAAGTTGGCAGTTGGAGAATATGAGCAAGATTCATGTTAGTTATTTTTAATAAAACAGGTATTGCTGTCTCTAAGCCAGACCTGATCACCTGTCTGGAGCAAGGAAAAGAGCCCTGGAATATGAAGCGACATGAGATGGTGGATAAAGCCCCAGGTAGGTGAGAGTGAATACAACAGACAACATGGATGAGAGGTCCAAAGTCAAGAAGAAAGCAAGTCTTTAAAGTGATCTGAGAAGCTATGTTCCAAAGGAAATAGTTTCTGGGAAGCCTGAATTTTTTGTTTAATTATACTCTCACTTCTGCTAGTGCTTATAAATTCTCTAAGAATTCTACTTTCCCTACAATTATCTTTCTTCAAGTTTACAGTGACAGCCAAAGTACTGTTCATGGCATACATGAGTGCACAGTCTGACTTCTTTTTTCTTGTTTTTGTGGACAGACAGATACCTGCATAATTTTGCGACACTCTATTTTAAACTGTTTTTTAAGTTCTCTTTTTGCATTATGTCTGAAATGCGTGAGAGTAGTGGTTTCTGTTCCATTGGGTTTTTTTGTTGTTGTTCTTTATTTTTCTGCACATTTCATCCTGTTTTCATTACTATGGTCTTGAAATATTGTTTGAAATTATAAATTTGATGTCTTTCTGCTTTGTTCTTCAAGATTGCTTTGGCTATTCAAAGTTTATTGTAGTTTCATGTACATTTTAGGATTGTATTTTTCATTTCTGTGTATAAAAAACAATGGAATTCTGATAGGGAGTTTATCGAATCTATAGATCACTTTGGATAACATGACAGTTTCACAATACTTTTTCTTTCAATAAAAGTAAAATATTTCTAAGTTTATTTGGGTCCTCTTAATTTTTTTCATTGCTATATCTTTCACTTAAAAGATTTATGAGCTCCTTGGTTAAATTCATTCTAAAATTGATTATTTCATTGCTATTGTAATTAACATTTTTTTCCCTCTATTTTATCAAATAGTTTGTTTTAAGTGTATGGAACCATACCTTACACTTGTATGTTAATTTTATATTTTGCTAATTGAGTGTATTCATTAGTTTAAACAGGTTTTAAAGTACTGTTTATATATATATATAATTACATGATCTACAAAAAGCAACATTTTACTTATTGGTCTTTAATTTCAATGACTTTAAATTTTTCTTTTCACTATTTCGTTTTCCACATAGTTTCAGTGCTATGTTAAAATAGAAGCATTGACAATAAGAAACAATAGTTTTGCATTGGTGACTGTAAACTTGAAGGAGCAAACACCTGTTCAAGTATTTAAAAACTGGTTTCAGAAAGTAAAAGTCTATTTTTGTTGGGCCCCCATAGTGATAGAATACCCTCTGGGTTTGTAGTGAAGAGGGGTTGTAGCTTGGTCTTAAGTCTGCTGGGCTTGCACAAGGGTCCATCTTTAGATGTGTTGTTAAAAGGGGCTTGGATAGTTGTAATTCTCATTTAATTTTTGGACAGAATGAATATCCTTCAGGACTTTGCTGTGCAGGGCAGTCCCAAAGGCAGGTTTCTGCAGTCAGGCCTGCATATGGTGGGCCTTATATCAGGATGTGGGTGAGCATGGCTTTCACTGAGTACAAGAAAGGATTTTCCCAGGTCACTATGGGTTTCTACATAGGCAGAATAGGCCATGAACTGTGGCTCAGGGAGCTGGAACTGAATCATGGAACTGCTTCAGGGACCACAGTAAAGACCAAGGTCTGCAGGCCTGCCAGCATGGCTATAAATGGGTGTCTTTCTTCAGGCCTCTGGAAGGGCAGGACCTCCCCCAGACTGTGGCTGGGAAGGGTTTGGGATGGTTACAGAGTAAAGTTCAAAATTCTCAGTGGAACCAAGTTAGGTGGAACATTTTCTCATCTGTAGCCAAAAACAGTAGTCCTGTAGTTTGCCACCTGAATGAGGGCCTGCCTTCTAAAAAGGATTATCTTCAATCTTGCACTTCAGCAGAGTTTCATAACTCCCTTCCTGGATCTCAGCTCTCTTAAAGACACTTATTTTTGAGATAGGGTCTTGCACCATAACCCCGGCAGGTCTTAATATTTTGACCAGAAGCAATTCTCCAACTTTAATGTACCGTGTAGCTGTCATTACAGGGGTGAACCATGATGCCTGGTTCTCTCACAAACACATTTTTGTCAAGAATGGCTGACAAATTTCCTTGCTGTCAGGAGATAAGCAAATAGGGCACCTTTTTTTTTTTTTTAATCTTATTAATGTCACTGTCCATATAAATTTTTGTTTTTATTTTCTACTTCAAATTTGTCTGTAGTTTTGGATTTAGACATTTAGGACAATATACTAGAATGTACATGTTGTGCCTGAATTAGATGCAGGCAGGCTAATAGGAATTACAGAATTTTCAGCCACTTTTTGTCAGCAAATAATTTATTCCTCAAATATTTGTTTTATATGAGGCTCTAACCATATTCTGCTAAATATACATATTTAGCATTTAGGCTATATTTGTTCTAACGTGAATTACAGTATTTTTATTTTGTGTAAAAATAGCACATATTTAAAACATAAAAATTGACACTAGTTTCTTTTATATGCTTATTCTGTTAAGTTTCTCATTAGCATCTCCTATTTATGATTGTACTGCATTTTGTCTGGGATTTTATTGCCATACAATAGATACCATAGTTTAAAATGCCTGCCTTCCATGACTGCACAGTTACAGTCAAACATTGCAGTTTTCTAGACAAATTATTTGTTAACGTACATTAATGTTGCCAACTAGATTTTATGAGTAAACCTTTCTTTCATTATTTTCTTGCAGTTCTACATTAGTGTATTTGTTTGTGTAAGTTTCTTAATATCAGTTTATTGTGTTTTTGGTTTTACTTATGTGTTATAATTTTAGACAATTTGCAATTCTGTTTTTATACTTTAAGTCAATGTGGGATTTAATTAAAAGATAAATGAGCCATATGTGTATCACACTCAGATTATATATATATGTGTGTGTTTTTAGGTCTATAAATATGACCCCAATTTTGGTTATAGCTTATCTTGTATATATTCTTTCTTAATCTCATTTTTTTTTTTTCCTTTTTTGAGATGGAGTGTTGCTCTTGTTGCTAAAGCTGGAGTGCAATGCATGATCTTGGCTCACTGCAACCTCCACCTCCCAGGTTCAAGCGATTCTCTTGCGTCAGCCTCTCATGTACCTGGGATATCAGGCATGTACCACCATGCCCGGCTAATTTTGTATTTTTCTTTTAGTAGAGACAGGGTTTCTCTCATGTTGGTCAGGCTGGTCTTGAACTCCTGACCTCAGGTGATCTGCCTGCCTTGGCCTCCCAAAGTGCTGGGATTACAGGTATGAGCCACCTTGCCCAGCCTCTTAGTTCATTTTCAGTGTTGGCTTTATCTTGTCTTAGTGAGTAGTCCTTGAAATAGCATTATTTTCACCATGTGTTTAATGATGAATACGTATTTCCTTTGTGTGAAAAAACCCTTTTGTGATTTGAAGGTAATTTTCAAGAAAATTTACAGTTCTTTATTTTTTCTAGTTTTTTCAAAAATAATTGTTGTAAAAACACATAACGTATAATTTAACTTCTTAAATCTATTTCAATGTACATGTCAGGGCCAGGCATGGTGGTGGCTCACTTCTGTAAGACCAGGATTTTGAGAGGCTAGGAGGATTTCTTGAGCCCAGAAATTTAAGACCAGCCTGGGCAAAATATGGAGACACCCTCTCTACAAACATTTTTATCTAAGAAATAGCCAGGTATGATGGTGTGTACCTGTGGTCCCAGCTACTTGAGAGATTGAAGGGCAGGAATATTTTAGCCTGAGAGTGTAAGGCTGCAGTGAGCCATAATGTGCCACTGCACTGAAGCTTGGGTGACAGATTGAGAGCCTGTCTCAAAAAAACAAAACAAAACAAAACTGTATATTTCAGGCATGTTAACTGTATTAACATAGTTATGCAAAGGACTTCTAGAAATTTTACATCTTGCAAAATTAAAATGCGGTGTCCATTAAATAACATTTACCCACCATTTTATGCTCTCTCTAGCCCTTGACAAACACCCTTCCACTTTCTGTTTTTACAAGTTTGACTATTTTATATATCTAAGTGAAATCTTAACATTCATCATTTCGTTACTAGCTTATTTCAGTTGACATAATCTCAAAGTGTATCTTTAAATGTGACAAGACTTTTTTTTTTTTAAGGTTGAATAATATTCCGTTGTATCAAATATGTCTTCAGGGTCCTATGATGCATATTTTAGATATAGATTCATAAATGGAATTGCTGTATTTGATAATTTTAAACTATATTTATAACATTATAAAATAATGGGTGTATCCTGCTTTCCACCAACAATCAATAAGTTTCTTTTTTTTTTTGGGGGGGGACAAATTCTTGTTCTGTCACCCAGGGTGGAGTGCAGTGGCACAATACTGTCACACTCCAACCTCCACCTCCTGGGTTCAAATGATTCTCCTGCCTCAGCCTCCTGACTAGCTGGGATTACAGGCACATGTCACCACACCTGGGTAATTTTTGTATTTTTAGTAAAGACAGGGTTTCACCATGTTAAGCAGTCTGATCTCGAACTCCTGACCTCGTGATCTGCCTGCTTCAGCCTCCCAAAGTGCTGGGATTAAGGTGTGAGCCACTGTGCCCAGCCCAGGGTTTCATTTTTATTGCATTATCAACAGATTTGGTGTTTTCAAAAAATTGATAGTGACCATTTAAGTGAGTGTGAGGGGATTTTGTTTTTCATTGTGATTTTAACGTATTTCTCTACAAATTAGTAATTTTGTGTGTCCTTTCAAATTTTTCATTTGATTTTTTAATGAAATTTTATTTTAATTATTTGTCTATTTCTAAATAAAGTTATTCGACTTTATTGTTCCGTTTTACAAGTTGTTTATATTTTTTGGATATTCACTCTTATCACATGTAATTTGTAAATATTTTCACCCATTTTATAGTAGGCGTTATTTCTCTATTAAATGTTTACTTAAATATGCAGAAATTTCTAAGTGTAGTGTAGTAAAATTATTCTGTTTTTTTTTCTTTGTTGCTCATGCATTTAATTATCTAAGAATTTGGCACCAAGACTAATGTCATGTGTTTCATATATGTATGTGTGTGTATATATATATAT